GATTACCATAGTTGCTCATAATCATCATCTTACATGTCTATTAATATCACTTTCAAGGTTTCGGGTGGCTCTTCGTTTGAGCAGAGCTTCGACCCTGAGACCACCATTGGTGACGTCAAGAAAGGTTGTGTGGAGAAGTCCGGAGTCCCAGCGGAGCAGCAAAGACTCATCTACAAGGGTCGGATTCTGAAGGATGCTGATACTGTTGGCCAACACAAGATCGAGAGCGGCCATACAATTCATCTGGTCAAGGGCGCTGCTCCTGCTGGCAGTAGTCAGCCAACGCCTGCTGCTGCTGCTCCTGCTGCTCCTGCGCCCACACCTGTGGAACCAACTCCAGCAGTAACTCCCACTCCTCCGGTCGCTCCTACAGCACCTAGTAATGACTATATGCAGCAGGCCATGGCTCAAGCTATGGCCCAGGGAGCTGGTGGAGGCATGGGAGCTGGTATGAACGCTATGATGCAAGATCCTCAAGTCATGTCACAAATGATGCAAAGTCCTATGGTCCAACAGGCCATGCAGGTAGTGGTTGTTGTCGTTATAGAAGCGGTGGTGTATCCTCCCTGGTTAGTCCCTCGCTGAGAATCCTCAATTGTTACAGCAGATGATGGCCACTAACCCTATGATGCAACAGATGATGGTAGTAGTAGTGCTACTGCTAGCTCCTTGTTATTTAACATAGGCGGCTCTCTTGGTAGGCTCAGAACCCCCAAATGGCTGCCATTATGTCCAATCCTGATCTCCTACGATTTTTGATGAACCCACAGACGATGCAAGCCATGATGCAGTTGAACCAAGCTATGGTAGTAGCAGTAGTATGGTCATTCTTAGGAGACTTGCATATCGGTGTTTCTTAGGCTGGCAATCAGCAGCAACAACAACAAGGAGCACCAGCTCCCGCAGCCCCGGTGCCTACTACTACCACTCCTGCTCAGAGCACGGCACCACCGAATCCTGCTCCAACTGGTAGTATTTCTTTTGATAACCGTTTTTATGTGTTCCGTTTGCAGGCCCAGCGACTTCAGGGCAGCCCGATTATGCTTCTATGATGCAGGCCATGCAAAACAACCCGCTTATGGCTCAGATGCTGGGTATGTAGGATGTGCTAGATTTACGGTATGAGAATATTATTTTCAGCTGGTGGTGGAGCTGGAGCTATTCCCGCGCCTAATCATGCTGAGCTGGAGCAGAGATATGCTAGCGAGTTGGAGACGTTGCGGTCCATGGGTTTCGTCGACACGTGAGTTCTCCCTTTGAATGAACTGCCTATAATCGTCGTGTCGTACAGGGCGGCTAACCTTGAGGCTTTGCGTGTCTGCGATGGTAACGTGGAGCTTGCTGTGAACTACCTTTTCGATATGGGCGCCGGCAACTAGAAGTTGAGGACCATCACGCGATAGTAGTAGTAGTTAGAAACACCTTTTCTTTGTATACCAAATACGTCGTCTGAGTTTTGTGTACAGTGAATTCAAATTGCGCTGGGGATTCGCTCGGCGAATGGTATGATACAGTTCTCCATCACTCTGATGCTTCTCGCGGCCGAGGATTCACAGTCAGTGAAAGCAGGTGAGGTCTCCACGGCAAAGCTGTCGTGCACGCATGCCCAAGCTCTGCTATTGTAGTGTCCGTAGACACTAATCCTGTCGAGAAGCGACGATCGCTATCGTCTAGTGGAGCTGGGAGTATTAGTCAAACATCGTGGTGGTCTCAATGTGCATCTATCAGGACTATCTGTTGGTGTGCAGCGAAGGTCGTCATCAGTACGTGCTGGGCAGCCTGGGGCGGCAACAGAATTCGTCCTGGCCATCAGCGGTTGTATCGACGGCGCTCAGGTGCGTGTAGGAGGCACGCGTGTTATTGGGCGTTTTGGTACAGGTTGGTGCGGTTGGTTACGGCCCTCTAGCGGTGTCATATACATTTCATAGCGCCACGCCGGATTGGACACTCGTGGGTTTACGTTAGTTGGGATGATGAGCATGCTTCCATACGGAAGGTCCATGGTTCTATCCAAGGCATGAGCCAATTTTCGCATCCTCGTTTGAGCAGCGGTGCCCTTAGTAGCAGCATTGGCGTCCAAGCGGATGATATCGTGTGGAACCTACCACTTGCCCTCACTTACCGTTCGACCAACCCTCATGGCTGGCCGAGGTGAAATGCCGCAAAATCTCTGTTGCAGTACATTCCATTCAAATTATGTCTAATTACTCAACAGGTTAGTATTGACGATCGAGGGCGATGATTGGCTCGGTAGGCGAGTGGTCGCTGGCTATAGTGTTGTCACAGTCCCCACTACCCCTGGTATATTCCTCATCCGTACAGCGACGTGGACTTGCCCACCTCGACAGGTCGCCACACTCGGACGTGTTTCGTATACCGTCCTTGCAGCAGCAATTGGCGGTCGAGGGTCATGGGCTGGCTCACGGGCAGTCCGGCCCGGCTCAAGGATCCGAGGATTCTCGCTGGGAGTGATGGTCGTGATAGTGAGGGAATGACTACTGACTAGGTCTGCTATGCTCTTCTCCCAGTACTACGTGTTGCTTCATCTGGGTTAGAAGTGACAATAACGTTCAACATAGCTCTGAAGGATATAGATGGTACAGACTATCAATTCATATGATGATCACATGCGGAAAGTTCTCCCTGTAATACCTGGCGTACGAGTTTGAGTGTAATGTACAGTAAATGAGTGGTGTTGATTTCTCCACCTATTATGATGATGATGGTCAGCCATAG